AGCTTTAATTTTTTTATTATTATTTTTCTAAGGGATGAGGCGGGCATGCATCAGACAAGCACATAACAGAAAACTGTGGCCTTCTCTCCAATTTATTACCTGGGGATATTGTATTAGCTGACAGAGGCTTTGATATTAAAGACAGTGTAAGAGTGATGTGTGCTGAGGTCAAAATGCCATCAATCACTAAAGGGAGATGTCAACTTGTTGCTAAAGACATTGAAGACACACGAGCTTTAGCTCACCTCAGAATTCATGTGGAAAGAGTGATTGATTGCATGAGGAACAAATACAAAATGTTACACAGAACTATAATAATTAGGTTGCTGCTTACATGTCAGAGTGAACAGGTTGTACTTCTTGACAAGATTGTGTTTGTGTGCTGCAGCTTAGTGAACATGTGTTCTAGTGTGGTTGCAAAACCTAATGCAAATGAAACCTGCAGATAATATGCAACTGCAATGCTGCACTGTTGATTAAAACACAGATTGGAAAAAGATTTTCTGCACTCATTATTTCTGAAATATTTGTACAGTTTTATGTAAAATGTAGATAGTAAAAAAAAGAAAATTGTATTTGTTCCCTTCATTATTTTGTGTTGAAATATGTGTACAGTCGGAAGTGTCTGTTTTCTCTCATTTAATAATTTAATGTGGTAAACATTCATGAAAGGTTTGATTCAAGCACTTCAAAGTTGCATGTAAGCAGGTGATGAAATTAATCACATTTTAAGTAAAAATTTGACATTTAAAATGTTTCAGGTAATAAACATACATGTAATGAAAGATTTTTTAAATAAACATTTTTATGTGATTAAAGTAAACAATTATATAATCAGACATTTTACAGTAAACATTTAATGTAATAAACAAACCAGATGAAAGAGCCCTTCTTTAAACATTGAATGTGTAATTAGACATTTCAGAGTAAAAGATAAAGGTGTCAAGTAAATGTTATGAAATAGATCACACTTTAAGTAAATATTTGTTGTATGTATTTAAGATATTTCAGGCAAGAAGTGAACATGTAATGAAATAGATCCTGTCCTAGAATTTTATGTAATTGAACGTTACAGGTAACAAATGTGATGATCATCATATGAACATTTTTTAAAAATATTTTTTAAATATAAAATTAGTAAAAAAAAATTTAAAAAGGGGTCAAAATGGAATAAAAATGTGTGCCTCATCTATACAGTTTAGTAGAATAATTTCAGAGATTTTGAGTTAATAGGTCACATGACCTAGAAGCTATTGAAGAGAAATACAAAATTTTGACTACAAAAACAGCTAAAAAATATAAAGTGTTAAAATATAATAAAGATGAGTGGCCTCATCTATACAGTCTAGTAGAACAATTTCACACTGATATTGAGTTAATGGGGCACACGATTTGGAAGCTATTTAAGAAAACATTTATTAATATTAAAATTAGTTAAAATATTGAATATGACTTAAAATTTGAATAGAGGATAGTGTGCCTCGTGTAATAGCATGAATTACCACGTTTTTGTATCAGTTGGTCACAAGGCAAGGCATTTATTTATAGGAGAGTTTGGTTCGGAAATTTACGGCCCCATGTGAACCTCCAAGCGCTTGAGGAGGGAGCGGTAGAGAACAGCTGGCCGAAATTAGCGTTCATAAATCAGATCAATCTTGAGCTAAACACCCCTTACTCCACAGAGCGCGAATATCCAATATCCAACTTGAGAACAACTTCACTGCGGTCGGTAACACACTGAAAACGCTGGGATAAAGTTGGTTCTCGGTAAAGATTAAAATCAAGAATTTAATCTTGTGATTAAATTCCCTTAATCACAAGATTAAGGGAATTTCTTACGAAAGGCTTTCTTCAAAATGAGCTATGTTGTCTATACTTATTTATTTATATATTTATAATCTAACTTTCCAAGTTTTTTTTTCATATCCATTTTGATAGATATATCATATTTATATCATAAGATGTTGTCATGCAAAACTACACTGTAAAAAAATGACTTACTGAGGGATGCTCTCATACTCTTGTGTAGTGATATAATCCACCTCTTTCACAAAGTTCCTGTTGATCTTCTTAGTCTTTTCTGCCCAGGCTGGCTGATTATCTGCTGGCTTGTTGTCCCTGCAAACCAAATATAATAACTGTCAAACATTCAAAGCTACACAATAGATCCTTATGGTTGCTCCTACCATTTTTCAAGGGGGGCACCCCGTCCTGCCAACAAGGCCACCGCAGTTAAATCAGGGGTAATGCACACCCTTGAAAATTAACCCCAATCCCCCTCCAACATTAAGTCTCTAGGGGAAACACTGCCGTCAGATATTGCAGTCCTACAGGCTTTATTTGCTACCCCACCAAGCTAAGTATTGTTCATTTATTATAGGTTTTTTTATTTACCAGTATCAGTGATGGCAAAGATGGGTTAAAGAGTCTCTTTGGTGAAACACTTAAGACTTTATAGTTGGTGTAGGTATTGTTAATATCTCTTCCAATAATACAAAATTGCCTCAGATTACTTTCAAATTTCCTGTCAACTTTAAACATTTTGGTAACACTTTATTTGAAGGGGGTTGAATAAGACTGACATGTCACCGTCATAAAAACCTGTCATGAACATGAATAAGCCTTCATGAATATTTATGACTGTTGTCAAAGCGTCATTCGGTAAATTATGACACTTTTAATACAAAGTTGACAATATTCTAAATGTCTTTGTTATGACAACTTGACATTAACCAAGAAATCATTACTGATATAAATTTGTTATAAAAGTATTACTGATTGCACTTTAAAAATTAGGTAACTTTATGTTATTAAAGGTAAAGTTTAAACAGTAATGATTTCCTGGTTAATGTCAAGTTGTCATAACAAAGACATTTTGAATAATGTTAACTTTGTATTAAAAGTGTCATAATTTACCGAATGACGCTTTATGACAACAGTCATAAATATTCATGAAGGCTTATTCATGTTCATGACAGGTGTTATGTCATGTTTATGACAGTGTCATGACAGTCTTATTCACCCCCCTTCAAATAAAGTGTTACCAACATTTTTAACTCAAATAAACGGTAGGCTGCTGGATAGCTTCACAGAGTTTAGAGTGTTTTCTGGGGGAAACCCTGAAACATTGAATTAATGTAATCAAATACAGAATATTAAGGTCAATTAAGAGTTAGTGTCCCCCTTCATGATGTTACAGTAGGACAGTATTTATTTTTACTAATGATGATTACTGCATTTTAAGGTTTCTAAAATATTGAAGCCCTCAACAATATAAAAAGTTTTATTTTTTTAAGAAAAAACAAAACATTTTCTAGACTGTAGATACAACAGATGCTTCTTTTTCTTATTGTCACGAAACAAGTAACTTACTATACAGATACATGGCAACAATGAAAATGATAAAATAACCCATACAAAATATATTAACAGCTCTTCATATAAACAAAACAAGAATTTCATTATCTTCTTACTTGACTGGACTTTTCCTTTTAGGAATGTGTGCGGGAAAGTTGTCCTTCATGTGCTGAACACTCTCCAGATAATTTTGAAATAACTTCTCAAGTTCCTAAAAGCAATAAAAGCATGTTTTTTATTTACAACAAAGCAGAGGCACAAGATGAAAAATGACTAACTTATTTCTGAAACTGTCCTGTGAATTCTGAATATCAAGCACTGCTCATTCACCAAACACTTCAGCAAAAACTTGACCTTCAGCTGCTGTAGTTGCTCTTTCTGCTGATCGACACATTTTTCAAACTCCTCCAGCATCCTTCCAAGTCCCAATACTTCTTGTCCCAGTTTCTTTATCTTCTGCTGGGGCAAGTCTAAATGTGAAGAAGAAAAAGCCCAGTCATAATTTCAAACATAGTTTTACATGGTTGCAACTAACCAAAACACACTGCCATACCAGCAGCGGACAGATCCAGCATGCACAGTAAGGATGAGAGTTTATTCTGAAAGTGTTGGTAGATTTCTTCCAGGTCAGCCATTGTCCTAGAACACAGACATTTTAAAATTATTCACAATGAAAATAAAGGTGTAGATCAAAAACAAAGGAAAATGTACAGTGAACAAATACCAGCACAAAAGCTCAAACTGTGAAACCTATTGAGAAGCAGATTGTATGATAAGAGACACCTTTCTTCTAGTTAATGGTAACTGAACAGCATTAGTAGTTCTTGAAAGCACTTTACACTACAAGACAGATCTGGCGATATTTAATTGGACAATAAGTAATCATTGCTTTCTGAACAACAAAATAAATATTCTTAAAGGGTAAAATCAAAGATATGGATATTTAGATTTTAGGGAAGCAAAGTTTCCCATCATAAAAGCCTTAGATGAGTTAGGATGTAGAGGGGCTTGTAGAGCTCAACATGCCAGAACTTTTACATCATCTGTATGACTATTGTGCTGGCCTGTCATAACTTTGGTGCAAGCAGCAAAATATGATGCTTACATATGCTGAATATGTATAGACAGATATAACAGCCATCTGCTCTTTGGCCTTCTGATCCTTTCATCTGGAAACTCACTATACAAAAACAGTTTTAATGGCATACTGAATTGTAATTTAATAACTCTATATCAAAGTGTTATTTATTTTTAAATAAATGCACAAAATCCAACCAACATTGGTTTTAACCGAGGGCCTTTAAAAGAACCTGATCGCCTCCATGCCAACTCGCACTGATGCAGCAATTAATGCAAAAGGAGCCTCGACCAAACACTGAATGTATGTAGCTTGCTGTACAGTACATGACCACTTTCAACCTCACATTTTTAAAAATAAATTTTTAATAATCAGATGGATTATTCAAATTTCCCGTGAAACCAAACTTTGGGTTTTCCATTAGCTGTAATAATCAAATTCAACAGAAATAAACATTCCGATTTCGTGTGGATTTTTACTTTGAAAGGTGAATCATCAAAATAAATTACCTTTTTGATTAAGCGTACTTTCATATAGTTTAAGCTGTACATACAATTAGATTATATCTGGCCTTCAGGCTCAACAGGTTTAAATTCAAACTCATGAATAACAAGATGCGAGGCGAACATGTGAAAAGGTCTTTTGCTAGTGATGATTTTATGGCGTCTTCAATAGCATTCTACCATCTCCTAAGGACCGTATAGTCTCATCGGATAACTTTGCTCTAATTTCATTTGAACACCAGCTAGCTTTAAAAAAAAAACGAAATTGAAAACAACGAATGTTACTCGACTTTTCAAGGAGACATATGTGTATTCTTCTGCTCTAAACGAAACATAGAGTAAGCAAATATTTGAACATAATACTATAATGTTTTCTAGCTTATTTATGTGCCGATAAACGTAAAAAGAATCCTAATAAAATCCATACTTACACAAACCACATACCTTATTTCCAAATAAAATAAAAATAAACAGATATTTCCCGGTTTATTTGAACGCTAGCTCAGGTGATACGTCAAAGGTTAGCGCATGCGCTGTGGTGCTGTTGCGTTCAATGACACTGGGTAAAATTATATTATATATATATCCTCCTGACCTGACTACCAGTAGTTCATTTTTGACCTCTGTAGAGGACATTTCTAAACTTGAATATCTCCCACCCCCCTGC